AAGATGGATTTCTTTCCATCGTTGGACTTCCACCTAACGTCCTTCTGACCTTCGTCGTTAGACAACAGTCTATCCGACCTCCGTCGCCCGCCGACTACGGTCCTCCTGACTTACGTCGCCCGCCGACTACAGTCTTTCCGACCTCGGTTGCCCGCTGAATACGATCCTTCTGACATGCGTCACTCACCGACTATAGTCTTTCTAACCTCCTTCGCTCGACGACTACGATCCTCCTGACTTATGTCGCCCGTCGACTACAATCTTTCCAACCTCCATCGCCCGCCGACTACGGTCCTTCTAACTTATGTCGCCCACCGACTACAGTCCTTCCGACCTCCGTCGCCAGCTGACTATGGTCCTCCTGACTTACGTCGTCCGCAGGCTATAGTCTTTCTGACCACCGTCACCAGACTATGGTCCTCCTGACCAAACGAACACGTCAATGTTGATTCTTTGTATTCACATCATGTAATGTACTCTATAAAATGTACATTAAGCTAAGACCTTCTCCTAAGGAAGGGCCTCATTTGTAATCAACTGCAATACTAGTGGATTCATTCAAACTGGGCTAGCCCCGTGGTTCTTCCCCCTTTTTTAGGGATTTTTCACATAAAAATATTGATGTCTCTTATGAATGCTACACACTCTCTTATCTGATTGCGTGCCGGATTTTCATACAATGTTAAGACGTTAAACTTTATTTTCTCTTCCGCCGCGAATACTCCTGGATGCAACAGTTTGGATTTTTGTGTCACTATGTTCATCTTATTGAGACGATGAATTTGATTATAAGTTTGGTAAAATAGAAATTCAGATTGTCTCTAATTTAATTTTGAAACTTGTCAACTTAAATTTGCCTCAAGATTTGTGCTCGATTAAGACGATTTTTGGTGACGTATCAATCTGTTTAAATGAACCTTAAACATATGAAACGAATCAATTTATTGATTTTTTAAAATATCTATCTAGTTAAGGTTTTCATGTGATTGCTTATTCATATTTACATGCTTGCTTATACTAAGACATTAAAATATTTAGTAATTAAATGTATAACTTAAGATATAATATAAATTTTCTATAGAATATAAATTAAAATATTCGCTGATAATATTAAAAAAAAGTACTCAACTTCTTAATTAAAATATATCACATTATTACAAAAATATATAATAATATGTTATACATATACTATACACATTCTTTATTATTTAAAATATTTAATATAATAATATAAGTGTTATGTTTCTTGCATGAGGAAGACGAAGCTCTTCTTCTTGATTGTGAATGAGAGAGAGATAGAGAGAGAGAGAGAGAGCGAGAGAGGGAGAGGGAGTAAAGGGCGAGGGCAATGATAGGAATTTCCTATTCCTTAATCAATTGGGCTTATAGGAGGTGCCTTTGCATTAACCTATACATACTATACATAGGATTTACATCAGTGTGATGCTATGTAGGAACAACCTAATCTAAAATCAGATCTATACACAACAATCTCCACCTTTGTATGATTTTATGATTAAAGAACCACCCGTTTACAAGAACTCATGCTTGCTGCAATTCGACCGAATCCTTGCACTAACTCCACAAGCAAACCCACTGAACTGAGCCCAATGCTACTCACGAACGACCTCCAGTATGTGTTATGATATACGGCTCCAACTCACGCTCCTGTGTGTTGTAAACCACACACGCATGTGTCCCTCGCTGTTCCTCTTTTGATTTGCATGCTCGTGCCTTGTGCATTTCTTGCTTCCGCACGACATAGCCGCACTTCAGCACTGAGCAACCTTCGGCTTGTCTGCCTTCCCCGGGGACTTGTGCGTGCTCCAGCCTACGACTTCACACGACCCAGCCATCCACCTGTCAAATCTCACATCTCCACCAGCTTGGTGATTTTCCCCTGTTCAGACCCAGAGACTCGTCAAAGATCTAAACTGATCTTTAATCAAGAATAAGATCAGTGCCTCCAATGTCCGCTAGTGCAACATCTGCTCTCTTATGCCACCCAAGAAGCTCCTCCTATCTCTGTAATTTGTGACTCTAATTCGCATGAACACCCACGTCTCAAAGATATGCTCCCGTCTCCCTTTGACGCACGATAAAAGCCAGGCGATCCGTGGCCAAATCTTCTATGATCGGTCTTTGTGCCCACACATTTACTCTGATCCATGTGGCACCATGCCGCTCCGAACACCAGACATCACCAGGCCTCCTGCGCTCCAGCTCGGCTTTCTACTGTGAACAACACACACGCGATCCACGTGCATCTCCCACCGTCGAAGCCTCCGCCTACACCTGCCTCAAACCTCTCCATGCAATTGATCTAAGCCTATGCGCCTTGAGTACCATGTTCACCCCGCATGCTCATCCCATGGTTAGCATTCTCCTACATGAACCACACACCCTGTGTCCATTCCTAGCACGTTCTAGCGCCCTACGCTCGCACCCGCTCATGAGCCCTCTCCACAAGCATGCATCCGTGAGCATCAACCTGCATGCCGTGTTTTCTCCTCGCGTGTAAAACCTAAACCCGCAAACAACTCCCATGTTTCCTAATCGAATGAGGAGCTCCGTATTACGCGAACAATTTTGCTTACGGGTGCCTCCAGCTTCTGCCTGCGAATGAAATAGAAACTGGTTCTTCCTTCCATGCGATCTTCCAGGCCCACATCTGATCCACCCTATCGCGTGCTCACTTCCACGTGAGCACAATGTCTGGTCCGATTTTGTCATTTCTTTGGTAGGCTACCGCGACCAAGTGCCTGAACCGCACGTCCTGTAACCAGTGCCTCACACGACGCCTCACGCACATGTGAGCCTCTGATTCAACCTGCTTCCTTTGCCACCCGCGTGACCCGTGCGACCACCTCCTCTCATCCTTTCTTGGACAAAAAACATTCCTCCCCCTCAAGATTGTCTCAGCGATGATCTGATACAACTTGTTACATTTCTTGCATGAGGAAGAGGATGCTTTTTTTCTTGATCTAGAATAAGAGAGAGAGAGGGAGAGGGAGAGGGAGGAGAGGGAGAGGGCAATGACATGAATTTCTTATTCCTTAATCAATTGGACTTATAAGGGGTGCCTTTACCCCAATCTATACATATTATAGATATGATTTACACTAGTGTGATGTCAGACAGAAATAATTTAATCTAAAATAGGATCAATAAACAAAAATAAGTTAGTTAGAGATTTTAATTAATGCCTATGATTGTTGGGATTGATGAGAAGAAAACAAGAAATTAAAAAAAAAATGGAAATGTACAAAACCGGAAAACATTTTTCCACATTCATTGAATATCGAAAATCATTTTCCACGTTCTATTGAAAGTAGAAAAGTATTTTCCGTTTTCTTTAAAATAGTGATATTTTCTTTAAAACAGTGACGTTTTTTATTGTTTTACGCATCTGCTATGTTTTAAATTAATCCTTAAGCTTGCTTATCAAGCTGAATTAAAATCTTAATCAGCACAATTTTATAATTTTGCCTTGCTGTTTACTTTCAATCATTAATATATGACTCGAAAAATTTATGTTATAAAATGGCTGTGACAACTAAAAGATTGTCTAAGAGCTGTTTGTAACAACTTTCTAACTGCTTTATTCTTCAAACTTTTATCTTAATTTTGTTTGGCAATTATTTTATTGCTACTTTGGCACTGTTTTTTTTTTTTTTTATTTGGGATGAGAAAGTTAATTTTTGCAACCATACAATGAAGTTATTTTCTTCACGGTAATTTCACGACCGACTTCATAAAAAAATTATAACCATCTCAAACATATCCTAAATTTGATTACTTTTTACTTACAAAAACAAGCAATAAAATTTTATTATGCATCATATCTACATATACAAAAAAATGTTTCCTTGATAGTTTTCAAGGTTAAGGTTTCGTTTGAGACAGTTATCTTACTATTTTCTAAAAAAGACTTTTATAATTTAAGAATTTTTAGCGCTAAAAAGTTGTTTTATAAAACAGCAAAAAAAATTTCCCGAAATGAAACCTAAAATTTTCGTTGGGACAACTTTTTTTTATTATTTTCTAAAGACATTTTTTTTATTTAAATAGCTGCTTAAAAAAGTGGGAAGAAAGCTATCTGAGACTAAATAAATTATTTTGTTCGGAGTCCGAGTGAGAAGAATTATTCGGACATACACACTTTGTATAATTTTATATACAATGTGTGTATAAGATAGAGGGATGATTCTTCTCTTCCATAATCATAGAATAATTTCTCTGGAGAAGAAGCTAATAAATCACTAGAGAAGTTTAAGTGTTAAGACTACTTAAGAGAGGATATTAGTTAACAAACTAACTATTAATCCAATTAAAATCTAGGGAGATTTACATACATATCATCATATATTATTTTATTTACATATTTACCACCTAAAATTTTAATATTACATACATACCATCCATAGTTCATTTTCATATCAAATATGAGTGATAGAAAGAAAATATGAGTGACATATTTGATATTAAAATAATATATGATGATATATATGTAATATTAATATTTTAAATATTAAATATATAAATAAAATGATATAAAATAATATGTATGTAAATTTTCCTAAAATCTAATATTCTTAAATCAGTTCGCTTCACACTCCTAACCCGAAGTTATGGATGTCAATTCAGGTCAACGAGTCGGGTTCGGGTCAAATCCGGAACTGGCCCGACATTATTCGGGTCAACCCTGAACCCGACCCGTTTTTAAAAATGGGTCAGGTTTCAGGACCCGAACCCGACCCGATTCGGGTCCGGGTCAACCCGATTCGGGTCCGGATCAACCCGATCGAATGGCCCGAAGTTTTTGTGTCAAAATCGGGGGAAAATGGGTCAAAATCGGGTAAAAATGGGTCAATCTCGTATTTCCAATTCAAATTGGAGTTTTTGTGTCATTTTCGGATTGTTGGATCAACCCGAGCCCATTCTAATTTTTAAAATTGGTTGATTTGTTGAATTCGAACATGCCCCATTTAGGATCCGGGTTGATCTTAACCACCAATCGTCGATGAATTCGCAAAACCCTCTAGTCGATGTGCTGGCGAAACCGATTTCCTTCTTTCTACAACAGTTCCTGTCGATCGAAACCCTCTCCGCAATTCTGCAACCTCGCCGTAGAGCCGCCCTCAAACCTTCGATCAAAAGGCTTTACATGTCTTCCCTTAAGCGCCTCCTCCATTGCGATCTCCCTCACCGCTGGTCCGCAATCCCTCCCTTCCGTGTTCTCGCACCCTGTCTTGCCACTTGAACGACTTATTCATTGGAGCAGCTTAGGGATGATATAAGGAGCCTCTTTGGAGGTTTAACTGCTTCTGGTAAATCTGTCTTTGTTTACCTTCTTACATTTTGCACACATAAAGTATGCACTTGATTACCACATTTTGCAGGAAAAAAACTGGGTGAGGATGTCCTGATCAAATTTTGGTTGGGGACGGAAAAAAATTTGCCACAAGTCAATTTTCTCAGATATTTATTTTGCTGATTATATCAAATGCCTTAATATTTTATCAAGCATCGTTTTCAAATAAAATTAATATGATTACAAAGAACAATGATTGAATTGATTGGATATTTATTCAATGATATTGAAAAGTTTTGGATCTAAATTAATTAAAAAATAAAAAATCCAAGTATATGTAGATTGACTAAATTAGAATGACTAAAAAATAAAAATGTAATAAATAGAAATATTTCAAGTAGTTTTAAATTTTTATATGCTTAAACTGTTTGGCTTATTGTTTCAAAATAATTCAATGAATATATATATTGGTTTTATAGTATTTTCTAGATACAATATAATTATATAACCCTGGATGAGAAGTTAGGGCAAAGTGATCCAAGGGTCACTGTTCAAAATCAGGATTAAGGCTTCATTTGGGACAATTTTCTTACTATTTTCTAAAGCAATTTTCTAGTGCAAAAATTATTGGTTTAACAAAATTTTAAACTAAAAAACTGCTTTAGAAAGCAGTAAGAAAGCCGTCCCAAACAAAGCTAAAGTCTTAGAATTCTAATTTCTTTTTATATCTATCATGCATACATGATCTATTTATAATACATATTTTCATAGCCTCGATCAACTATCTCTTACAATGGTTTCTAGTGGTGGTAGGTTATTTAATCTTTCAATCTCATATCTTTATGGAAAGAAATCAGCACCCTCTTCGTCTATGTCATTCCTGGAAGTTCTTATAAAGAATGTTTCATTCTAGTTGTTGGGTGATCTCCTTGATTTAGTGATGTCAAGGGAAATGAAGACTATATTATTCATCAATGATGAAATTTTTTAGATGGCTAAATCATGTACCTTTACCTTAATTGGAAAGTTTTCTGAAAGCGGACCACCTCTTCAAGTGAATAAGCATTTTTTTTAGATTAATCATTTTTTTCATTAGAATAGGTCTTTTATTAGGTTTTTAAGTTGATCATCATGATTTTTATCATAGAATTATGACTTGATAATGATAGTGATTATGTTGTGGTTTTGGCTAAATTAGAGGCATTAATGTGAAGATCCTGAAATGGCCCCCTTATGGTTTTTCTCATGAATCGCTTTATTTCTATTTGAAGAATTTTGGTTTAACTGTTCCAAGTTGACGTTGCAATGATAATTTGCAAGAATATCATATGCTTAGATTTTAGTTGAGATGAATGTTTACGTTTCGAATAACATAACAATAAATGTTGGCTTGAATCTCCTGTGAATGGATATTGTCAAAGGTCAATTTTGTAAATCTTTCTAGCAGTTGTTCACATTGTTATATCTTTTTTTTCATAACAATAACTACTTTGAATTGCATCCTCACGTTAAGTTTAATCATATAAGCAACAAACCTCTTCGGGTTGATGCAAATCCATATAATGTTTGATCGAGCAAGACAAATTTCAATTTTAATCTATATAAAAAGATGACAATATGCACCTAAGTTAATGAGAGGTTAAATTTTAATCGTATTCATGTTTATGCTAAGTACAACTAGGCCATTCAGTTAGAGACTACCATTCCTATTGTTAAGAATATTCTTTCCCAAATTGTTAATGCGGAAAACTACAATAGCAACAATGTTGAAACTTCGTTTGTGGTGAATAATAATATCACACTTGACCTTGCTATTGATAATCCTAATTAGATCTTAAAAATTTCCTATTTTAATGTGTTAAATTTGAGCCTCCATGATGACACTGATCTACTACCCCTTTTATAGTTGATAGAACTGAATGATGGCTTTGCTTAATGATGAGTTGACTATAAGGTTCTCTAGTCTTTCTATTGTTAAAAAGCAATCATTTGGAATATTAGAGGCATTTCCAAGTCTTGAGCAAGGTAGACTTAAAAATCTCATTAAAATTGATAATCCTAAAATCATGCGTATAAATAGCACAAAATAGAGCACTCTAGGCATATAACACAGCACAGTACACGCCTTGCGCTATTTTTATGGCACATCACGAGGAAGTTAAAATAGCACATGCTGATTGCACTATGCACTGGCAATATGTGTGTCAGGGAGGGTTATGTAAGGGGGGGGGT